CCTGGCCCATTTTGATGAGACATTACCGGTGGTTTTGGCATGCGATGCCTCGCCTTACGGGGTCGGGGCTGTGTTGGCTCACCGTTTGGCCGACGGCAGGGAGGTCCCGGTCGCTTATTACTCTCGAACCCTTTCTGCGGCGGAGCGGAACTACGCCCAGATCGACCGGGAGGGTCTCGCAATTGTGGCCGGGGTCAAGAAGTTCCACGACTACATATACGGCAGGCCGTTCACCATTGTCACAGACCATCGCCCGCTCCTCGGCCTCTTCGCGCCCGACCGCCGGACGCCGCAGGTTCTCTCGCCGCGAGTCCTAAGGTGGACTATTTTCCTCGCTGGCTACAATTATCTGCTCCTACACCGCCCCGGGAAAGCCATGGGCCACGCGGACGCTCTTAGCCGCCTCCCACTACCTGAGGTGGTTGAGGACCCGGCCCCAGCCTTCCGGGTCCTTCAGCTGGAGGGCCTGCCGGAGGCCCCGTTGCAAGCGCGGGACATTGCCCGCCGCTCGGCTCGGGACCCCGTGGTATCCCGGGTTCTGGGCTGGGTGGTGAGGGGGTGGCCTGAGAAGACAGACCCTGAGTTCGCGGCGTATGCTACCCGGCGGGACGAACTTTCTGCACACAAGGGATGCCTGCTATGGGGAGACAGGGTCGTGGTCCCACACGCATTACGCCAGAGGGTCCTCCAGGCACTGCATGAAGCTCACCCGGGCATCGTCCGGATGAAAGGGCTGGCAAGAAGCTACGTCTGGTGGCCCGGCATCGACGCAGAGGTGGAAGCATGGGTCAAGCGTTGTCAGCCCTGCCAGGCGGTGAGACCCAGCCCACCGGGGGCACCAGCGCAGGCGTGGGAATCCACCCGTACCCCGTGGTCCCGGCTCCATATAGACTTCGCAGGGCCATTCCAGGGACGGCTGTTCCTGGTCACGGTGGATTCCTACTCAAAGTGGCTGGAAATAAGCCCCGTGGCTGCAACGTCCGCAAAAGCCACCATCCGCGCCCTACGAGGACTCTTTGCCACACACGGGCTGCCGGACACCATCGTGTCGGACAACGGGACGGCTTTTACGTCCGAGGAATTCCAGCAGTTCCTCAGCAGCAACTTGATCCGACATGTCCGGTCAGCGCCGTTCCACCCCGCAACCAACGGCCAAGCGGAGCGAATGGTCCGAACCGCAAAGGAGGCCTTGAGCCGGATGGTGGAAGGGGAATGGGAATGCCGCATCGCCAGATTCCTCCTGACCCAGCACACGACTCCCAACCCTGTCAGCGGAAGGTGCCCAGCAGAACTACTGATGGGTCGAAAGCCAACGATCCTTTTGGACCGCCTGCACCCCGACCGGGCCCCCGACCAAAGAAACGCAGTCGAGCAGAGGGAAGCACCAAGGGGGTTCTTCCCAGAGGACCCGGTTCTCGCCAGAAACTTCGGCCGCGGTCCGGAGTGGATCGCGGGCCGCATACTCCGTCCCCTGGGTACTGTGATGTACGAGGTATCCATGGAGTGCGGGCAGATATGGAGAAGGCACATCGACCAGCTCAGACAGCGAGTGCTACCGGAGTCCCAGACGGAGGAAGAGACGAGACAGCAGACGGAACCTAGAGAGACCACACCCGAGGCGACTGCACAGGACTTGCCAGCCGAGGAGCACCCGGCACAGGGCCCCACGGCTCCAGCTTTGGTCGAGGAAAACCCCGTTCCGGAGGCGGCGGAAGCAGGAGCACCAGCTCCCTCGTCAGAACCCGGCCCTGAGGTCGGAATTCCGGAAGCACGAGGGGCCACCCCTCGACGGTCAGCTAGAGTACGACGGTCCCCATCGTACTTAAAGGACTACGTGACTTAGGGGGGGGCCCGGACTATGGGGGGAGGGATGTTGTGTCCGCTGACCGCCACCGGAGGTCAGCGCACACTCCTGAGCTTCAGTCCGGCACAACAATGGGACTAGGATTCTAGTCCCTCCACTGGGGGGAACCAATGGGACCTTGGCGGGAGATTCAAACCCACCAATGGGACCAGGGGAAGCCCCTGGACTGTGTATATAGTTGGCCTGCCGGCCGTTAGTCTTTAGTCTTGTTGTGTACCAGTAAAGCCATGCTGATCACTACATCAGCCTCCATGCTTTCTTTACGCGTCTAACCCACTACACTTCATCAACCATGACCTTCCAATACTGATTCAAAACAAATACATGCTCTTGGATAGTTAGTAAACGGAACCTAGAGCTATCAACAACGTTCCTCACTCCAGAAATCTCCCCCAGTGGCTTCATATAAATGATAAACAGAGCATGTAACAATTCATAGACTTCTAGCACTATCTTCTGGGTCTTTGGAAAAAAGGAAAGACACAAACTGAGTGCAGCCTCCCTGAGACCAGAGAATGTGACAGGATTTCATGCTTCAGCATCTCACCATATGTGTGTCATGCCACAAACAATCACACACTTTTTGCTGTTACTAGTTAACATATTTTCTTTTCTGGAATTTATTGCAGTTGTAAGCAATCAGATCCAGGCAGGCACAGATCAGTAGAGCAGCTCATGACACAATCAGGATCATGGTGTGACCAGGTAAAAAACAATGGGAATTTCTTATGTGTGCTTTCTCATGAGGTAAAATTACCTCTACTGGAGAAGTAAATATCAGTGGATATCACTTCCCAAATTCTGCATTCCAAATGCTGTGGTCACTATAGGAATGACAGAAGTGTGACTGTTACCTTATAATAGAATGTGGCATTGTGAGCGACAATGTAGTTCTGTGGGTGGCTCAGAAGTTTACATCAAAAGCCTGCTTTTCCTGATTACTTGGGAACTAATTCTAATTAATTTACATTGTTTGTAGCAAATTCACTGCAACAACAATTTGGAGAAGGCAGAAGCTCTCAGTTCAGCTACAACTAGTAAGTGCTTGCTACATAACTGTGATACAAACAGTATGTTAAAGAGTGCCTGTTGTATATTTTAATCCCCCCCCCCCCCAAGTTGTAGAGATGTGGTTGTTTTGTTGTACATTTCACTCATTGCTTGATCCTCTCAGCAATGTCTGCACTAATAGATCACTACATGATTTTGATCTGTAGTATCTGGGAAATCACTGTCTAGGCCATCATGGGCTGCTTTCATACAAAGGATTTTTCACGTTTCAGTCACTCAGCTCATGTTTTTTAAAGGTTTCCACATGATATCATCCTCTGTTTGTCACAGACTATTAAAAGCCCGTTGCCTCCATAGAAAACTCTGCTTTATTTCAAGCACATAAAAAATCTGGGAAGCATCTGGGACGATGCTATCAGTGCAAGCAGTTTCTCGCATCTGAAGGGGAAACAGTGCCATTGCAGGACTTCAGTGAGAAAACAGGACGCTGCACTAGAGTACTCGGTGGTCTGGCAGGGCGCTTCTTACGCTCTTGTGGTGTCAGACTGAGAAGGGAGTGGGGATGATCCCTTAGAAAGGAACCATTCCTCTGATGGGATTAATTCTTCAAACAGCAAACCAATCTTCTTTGTGGACTCTGTGCAGTGCACACACTTGGGTTCTGCACCTGCGCCGAGCTCGGCCTCAGAGTTGGAGAGCTTTCCAGCACGCTGTTTTGGTGGGCTTCCTCCCAGCCCTGGGGAGCGGGCTTGCACCTTGCATGCCTGGAGCTGAGGGAAAGACAAGGTCGGGCCAAGTGTGTGACTGCACAGATGACCACTCGAAGATTATTAGTTACAGGTAAGCAACCTGTTTATCTCTGTGCTCTGCTGGTAGGCTTTCCACTGGTACCTGATTGACTTCAGAGTGAAACATGATGCAGGACTATGTGAACTATTTGACTGATCCAGTTCAACTTTCATGTTTTTATGAGTATTCAGATGGACCTTTCATTTTCTTATACTTGCTTATTTTACATGCTTTCTCTTCATGACAGGTAACATAGATCGGAAAGCTGTGGCAGTTTATTGAGCTTTGTATCTGTGGTAGAAAAGACAAATTCAAACATTAAAAGAATCCATGTTTTTTCCAAAAAATAATTTTTTTAAAAAAATCTGTGTTTCCCCCAAAACCGCCATAAGTAGTAGGTGATGTGGGGTGCAATAGAGAAGCAAACTAACATGATTTATCATGAAATATGTGGAGATTCAGACGCAGGCAACTAAAAGCAATTTTGTTAGGAGTAAAAACTAGGATCACACTGGAATGAACTGTAGAAGACTGCCATGCAGACAAGTATGCAATACTTAGAATGGGCATACTGACCTCTGCTATGTATGTTATCACAAAACATGACATTATCATGGCATGATATTTGCTTCAATCAAATTTGCATGGAGCCAGTGTGGCATAGTGGTTAGTGTGTAGTACTATGGAGACCTGAATTTAAATCCCCCCCTCCCAATTAAGCTTCCTAGGTGACCTTGTGCCAATATAACCAATCTCATAGGGTTTATTTATTTATTTATTTATTTATTTATTCCTCATATTTCTGCCCCACCCTCCCAGCCGAAGCCGGCTCACAACGGCTGACATAAAATGAACGTACAATTACAGTAAAACAATTGAACCATTTAAAACAATATTAAAACCAATTAAAAATAACAAAATAAGTGCTAGTATTGTTGTTATTGAATCAATGATGGCTACCATATCAGCTCTCTCTCCCCATAGCTGGCTCACAGGTCTTCTGCAGCTGTCTTCCAGGCGGCTGGCACAGGCTGTTTATACAAATTCTAGAAGCAACAGGGCTTCCTATCCTAGTTGTTGTTGTTGGTGGTGGTGGCTCCAAAACCTGGTGGAAGAGCTCCATTTTACAGGCCCTGCGGAACTACAAAAGGTACTGCAGGGCCCTGATCTCTTCCGGGAGCTTGTTGCACCAGGATGGAGCCGCCACTGAGAAAGCCCTGGCCCTGGTTGTCGACAGCCTGGCCTCCTTAAGACTTGGGAGGGCCAATCGGTTCTGGGCCCCTGAACGCAGTGCTCTTTGGGGAATATGTGGGGAAAGGCAGTCCCTCAGGTGTGTAGGCCTCTGATCATAAAGGGCTTTAAAGGTAAAAACCAGCATCTTGAAATGAATTCGGTATGCCATCGGCAGGCAGTGCAGTGCCTTTAGCACAGGATGGATGTGCTCCTGGACTGGGAGTCCCATCAACAGCCTGGCTGCAGCATTTTGCACCAAGTGCAGCTTCCGGATTTGAGACATGTAGAGAGCATTACAGTAGTCCAGTCTCGAGGTGACCATAGCATGGATCTCTGTTGCCAAGTTGTTGCATTCGAGGAAGGGAACCAACTGCCTGATCAGCCAAAGATGATAAAAGGCTGAGTTGGCAGTAGCTGCTACCTGGCTACCTTGTTAAGGAGGCATCCAGGAGCACTCCCAGACGCCTAACCTCTGGTGCTGGCACCAACTGTGCCCCATCGAAGGTCAGAAGCAGGATCCCTACCCTCGGAGCACCCTGACTCAGGCAAAGGGCCTCCATCTCCGTCGGATTCAATTTCAGCCGACTAAGCCTAAGCCAACCAGCCACAGCTTGTAGTGCCCAGTCTAGGTCTTCTGGTTTGGCATCAGACTGACCGCTCAACATCAGATAGAGCTGGGTGTCATCCGCATACTGATGACATCCCAGCCCATGCCTCCAGTCAATCTGGGTAAGGGGCGTGCATGTAGATGTTAAAAAACATCAGGGACAACACTGCCCCTTGAGGCACTCCACAGTCCAGTCCAGTGGGTGTCTCTGGAACAGTTGGTCCCCCCAGTGCCACCCTTTGTCCACGACCTTGGAGAAAGGAGACAAGCCACTGCAAGGCCAGCCCCTGGACCCTGAAGTCGGCGAGGTGGTGGGTCAGTAGCTGAACACGGCCGACAGGTCTAACAACAACAGCTCTGCCAATCCGCCCCAATCCAGATGCCTCCAGAGGTTGTCCGGGAGGGTGACCAGTGCTGTCTCCATCCCATGACCCAGGCGAAAGCCAGACTGGAAGGGGTCTAAGATGGAAGCATCATCCAAGAAGCCCTGTAGCTGTATGGCCACAGCCCTCTCCATTATCTTGCCCAAATAAGGCAAGTTGGAGACTGGCTGGTAGTTTGCCAATTCGGCCGGGTCCAAGGATGGCTTTTTCAAGAGAGGGTGAACCACTGCTTCCTTAAGCTCCCCAGGGAACCACCCCTCCAAGAGGGACTTGTTGACAGTCTCCCATAGGGCACCTTGGAACCCCTCGTGGCCAGTTTTAATTAGCCATCAAGGGCATGGGTCAAGGGAGCAAGTGGTAGGGCATACAATTAGGAGCAACTTGTCAACTTCCTCTAGGCTGAGCGAGCTGAAATGATCCATGACCAGAGTAGAAGAGGTGCATGGAGCCTCGAGTTTACTCACTGTATCAACTGTGGCGGGGAGGTCACGGCGGAGCGACAAGACTTTATCTGCAAAATAGCTTGCAAAAGCCTCACAGCCAACATTCAATTCCCTAGCATTTGGTTTGGCATGTGGCAAAGTAGTAATGGATCGAATCATTCTAAATAATTGGGCTGGGCGTGAGCTTGCAGATGCAATCGCGTCCACATAATATGAGAATAAAATGAAAAAAGGAAGAAACATGCACCCTTTCTGAGCTCCTGGGAGGAAGACGAGCAGGATAAAAACAGACAGACTGACAGACATCTAACTTCTGGGCTTTTTTTCTATTTACACAGATGTGGCCTTTGAGGAACATGAATGGCTTCGAGAACAGCTCTCAAGGGCATACAGTGATGTCAGTTTCAGGAAAATGTTTTCATTTGGGGATTCTACCCATTTTGCTATTGATCTGAAGGCACTCTATGGAGACCTAGTCATTGTCTCCAAGAACATCCATAACCTGCCATTGCAGCAGCTCATACTACCTGAGGTCCTTGAAAGCTTTCAGTCCATCACAGTTGTAGAAGGGGAAGCAGGGAGTGGGAAAACGGCATTGCTCCGGAAGATAGCTATTCTCTGGGCATCTGGATGCTGTCCTGTCCTCAGCAGATTCAAGTTTGTTTTTTATCTCTCCTTGAACTCTAGAGGAAGGAATGAGAAACTGGCCGATATGATTTGCAATCAGCTAGTAGGGCTTGAAGGGTCATTAACAAAAGATTCCCTGAAGAACTTGTGTCAGTCACTAAGGAATCAGGTCCTGTTTCTTGTGGATGGTTATGATGAAATGAATACAGTCCCCTCCGAAATTGAAGATCTGATTCAAAAGAACCACTTCAACAAACACTGCTTAGTTATCGCAGTTCGTACTAACAGGATTGGCAGCATCCGCCTGTTTGCAAACACAATTCTCAGTATCGGAGAGTTCCCACTAACCAGCACCGTCTATCTGTTAAGAAAACTCTTTTCACATAACATTAGTCTTGTAGAAGAATTTTACATTCAGATGGTACAAGAAGAAACTATACAATCTCTCTTCAAGACTCCTCTTTTTGTTGTGTCTCTTGGTGCATATTGGGTTCAGTATCCTGAAAGCAATATGTTCACAGACATGGTTATTTTGAAAGCCTACTTGCTGTACATTTCAATGAAATATCCACAAGAGTGTGAGCAGTTGAAAGTCATGGTGTCCTCCTGTGGTGAACTTGCCTTACAAGGTCTCTACAAATCCTGCTTTGATTTCAGTGAAGAAGACCTTTTTGAAGTTGGAGTAAGGGGAGATGATGCTGTCTGGTTTGGTCTGCTAAGCAAGTTCACTGCTCAAAGGCTTCATCCACTCTACAAATTCTTCCACCTTTCTTTCCAAGAATTTCTGGCAGGTCTAAGGATGAGTGAGCTCTTAGCTTCAGATGTGCAGGAAAATGTAGAAAAAGGATTGTGGTACTTGCAGCAAATCAACACCTTTGTGAAAATCTTTGGGCGGTACAAGTATATTTTGATGTATGCTTGCAGCAAGCCTTCCAATGCAGTGCCAAAAATAATTTCCCACTTACTAAATTTACTCAATTGTGAGGAGTCGTTTGAAAGTCGATCTGAAAATGATGTTTATCTGCAGCAAACTCCCAAACTTCAACTAATGCAACTGCAGCTTCTGTTTATTACCTTTAGATTGTTCCCAGAGCTACGTCATTCAACAGCTACTGAAATTGTACTGAAACTTGCCACTGAGCTAGCCTACCAGAGCAATATGGTTCCTGCATGTGCTCCCATGTTCTTAGAATTTATTTATGGGAAACAATTTTCTGTACATCAGTTTGCTTCCACTAGTGGGTTCATAAGTCGCTTCTTTCTAGATTATCCAGAGAGTTTGTTCTTACCCAGCAGTTTTGTCGCATCTTTTACTGGCAAAAAGGAAGTTGCTGATTTGTCTCGCGCTGAAAGTTGTTATTCTAATTTGGGGGTTCCAGTTGTTGACAAGGAATATGCTCCTGCTTTTAAACTTTTCAGTGATGTTTCAAAGCAGGTAAAAGAGCGTGAAGATTTTAGCAATAGTTTTATGTCACTCATCCCCAGATATCTTCCAGACTCCAAAATAGCTCCTTTTGTTCCTCTGAAAGGCCATAAGAAAATCCCACATTTGAAATTTGATGCCAGCAATGTGAAATCATTACAAGTTCATGACCTTCAAAATGTAGTGATACTCTTCTCAGTTTTTGATCGTATTGAACTCCGGCTGAAAAATTGCCAAGGTCTGATTGAGAGTATCCAGCCAGCTATTGAACAGAATTTGAGATCTTTTAAAGTTTGCAGCATACACTGTGATACTTTGAGTGTAGTAGAAGAAAACCTGCTTCTTTCAATGTCTTCACTTGAGTCTCTTGAAATCAAAGGGATAACATCAGTACCAGGTAAAGTGGCTTTTAATTGCATTTACTTGTCCATATATTGTCTTCCATTTTGTCTTTTGGGAAGATGACTATTTTGGATAAATTATTTAACTCTACATTGCTTCCACTTTAGAAACATGGTAATAGCTTTACATTTAGCTAAAAAACTTATCCCATTACAAGTTCCATAGAGATTAAAAAAATAGGAGCAAGTAATTCAGTATGAATATTTGGCACAGAAATTTAAGGCCTCTAAAGTCTAGAATTTGGAATGTTTTTTCCCTGTCTTACATTTTAAGCAGAACATTGTTTTAGAACATTTTAAATTCTTGCTTTAACTATCAGTTTAACAATAAATTCTGGGAAATGTAGTTTGGCTAGGTGCTAAGTATTTTGTCAGATATTTCCTCCTTCAGGGTTCTCTGTTGAGAGAAATAAGTATTGAATCCATTTAAGTTGGCTTGTAGTAATGTTTATACTACAAGTGTGTTTTCAATGTCTATTATTTTTGGCTTACACTGTAGTTTACATATTTTTAAATTTATGGAGCTTAGAAATCCTCAGTAACTAACAGAAATATATGTTTATAATCAGCCACTGGAAAGATAAGGATTCTGTATTTACATACTGGCTCAAACACAGAAGAAATTCATTATTTACCTTCTGTATTTCAGAAACTGTGTTTGCAAATTTGGACAAATATACTTTCTTGAAGGAACTGTCAATGGATCTTCCTGATTGTCAAAACATATTTGACATCATTCCAGAAGGCTTCAAAAATCTACATAGCATGGAAAAATTGCTAATCTACAATGTTCAGTTTCAAAGCAGTTCTGCCCGATTAGGTAAAATGCACATGTACACCTTTTCAGCACACTGTGTCCAACCCAAATCTTGTTGGACTCTAAGGTGCTACTGGACTCGAATCTAGCTGTCTAGAGAATAATTCTCTTGATATATAAGAGCCTCTTAATTGCTACATGCCCTTCTTGTATGCTTCCTCTAACCACTGTTCCTAACAGAGAATTCCACATTTTACAGGAATTCTAAAATCAGGTTTCGCATACAATCTGAAAATTGAGCAGATCTTGAAAACACACATGCTAGCAAACATTATTCAATTAATTCATTCGGGGTGCAAAACTGGATCTTTAAGATAGGTATGAGCAGGCTCACATAATTGGATCCTTTCTTTACCTCCTTTGATGTAAACCTACAGGTGGCATCAGTAAATTCTATACAATATTGTAATATATTTTATTACACATTGTAATGCATTTTTTTCTTTTGCAGTTGAAGTTATGCGGAACTTCCGAAACCTTTGTGTTTTTCATCTGAAACATTCAGACTTTTCTGAGTTTGGGGCTCTCATGGATGCCATTTCCACTTGCAAAATGCTAAGAGAAATAAGATTAACTGAATTATCTTTTGGAGATAAAGACCTGTTTTCTCTTGGTAAGAAAGGTGTATTGAATAACTGTTGTAAAAATGACAGTTGAATATATTCTTATTTATAGTTTACTACATATAAAAGTAATACTTGATTGATTATGGATTTAGCAGCATTAAGCTTTTATCCTAACTCAAAACACCTCTAGCTTTCTGCATCCAGTCCCCCCCCCCTTTATGATGCATTGTCCTCTAAACATTGTGTTAGAGTTATGGAATACGGAGAGTTCTCCCTTGCTACAGGATTTCAGATCAGGCAACCTTCCTTTTGTACAACTTTCAGAAAAACAACAGAAGAAATAGCTCAAGCCTGTTATATTTGATGAGCTGCATAAGCACCAGGGGTCTTTTCGTAGAAAAAGAGCTGCAGGAGCTCATTAGCATGCGGTATGCTAATGAGCTACTAGGCTATTAGCATAATAGCTCATTAGCATATGCAACACCCGTGACATCACCAGAAGAGATGGCAGAAGGGGAAGCAAAAGGGGGGGAGGCATCTTCAAAAGCCTCCCCTTCCCTTCCCTGGGGGGGGAAGCGAAGAGAGAAGGGGTTTAAAGTTTAAACCCCTTTTCACTAGAGTTGGGCTGCAGAAGGAGGAAAGAGGGAAGGAAAGAGAGAGAGAGAGAGTAGAGAGAAGGAACAAAGGAAGGAAAGAGGAAAAGAAAGAGAAGGAAAGAAGAAAGGAAAGAAAGAGAGAGAAGGGAAGAAGGAGGGAAAGTGGAAAAGGAGAGAATGAAAGGAGAGAAAGAAAGAGAGAGAAGGGGAGAAGGGAAGAAGGAGGGAAA